GACTTCAACTCCCAGAATTCCCCAGCCAGCATTCGCTGGCTGGGGAATTCTGGGAGTTGAAGTCCGGACATCTTCAAGTTGCCAAGGTTGAGAAACACTGCCTTAAGTTAGTGCTGCGAAGGGCGGTTGGGCTTGGCAGTTGCACCCCAGTGTGAAGCCCATCGTGGATTTCTCATCCAAGAAATCCTAGTCAAGCCAATCAGGGCAATGCATGAAGGGGAAGGGATCCACTGGGAAAGCCGGATCTCCTGGGGGGGGGCTCCCCTGTCTGCAGCCTGGCAAGGCTCCCCCTTCACTCCCATTCCTCTGATTGCAAGGCTTTTGGGGACATTACGTGCATGTTTTTCAATAACCCGCGCAGTCGCCGCCTCCCCACGCGCCATTGAGCCCGCCTGACCCAAATGAACACCACCCCCCCCCAACTCCTCTCCCACAACAGCCGTTACAAATGGCGGCCCGGGCAGCCTGTGGGCCGAAGGGCGCAGGCGCAGTTTGGCGAGCCACCGCAGGAAACGGCCTCTGCGCGCGCAGCTTCTTGCGATCGATAAGTGGAGGGAGAGGGAGGGAGGAAATAAGAGAGAGAGGAGGCGGTGACGCTAAAGCGTAGTCGCCGCGCAGGCGCAGTGGCTCTGGGTCTTCCCTCCTCGCTCAGTCCTCCACCTTCCCGGCGTCCTTCGGTGTCCCGGTGACGTCAAAAAAAAAGGGGGGGCGGGGAAATCGAGGACTGGCGAGCCGGCCTGCCGAGGAGAAGAAGGCCCGGAGCTGGCGAGGCGGGACGGCGGCGCTTCCCTCCGCGGTTGCCGCCCACAGACGAATCCGGGACGGCGAGCATGGCCGGCGGGGTGAGCTAAGGGCCCTTTCCTCGGCCTCTACTTGAGGAGGGTCGTGTGAACGCGTAGACGCGTGTCAGCAAGGGGGAAACCGTGTCGGGGCCGCCCTGCTTGGATCACTCCGCCCGGCCACGGAAATGGGGAGGGGGGGAGGAAGGAGTGACCGCTCCTCCGAGCCCCAAAAGGGAGGGTGCCCGAAATGGGGGCTGATGGAGGGGCGTCCCTGGCCGGGGTCGGAGGAAGAGAGAGGCCCGTCGTCATGAGGGAGGAGAGGAGGCTTTTGGGGAGGGGGGGTCGGTCATTTAAAGCCTGGGGGCTGTTGGGGGGTGCCCGGTTGCTGGGATGGGTCTGCCCTTTGGGGGGGGGGTCCTCAGGGTTGCCTTGGCAAGAGCTGAACGGGTTGCAGCCCCATTTCTGAATAAAGTGGGGAGGGGGCCCCGCCCGAATCTCCACTGGAAGCAGATCCTGGGGTTTGGGTCTGGGACCCTTCCCCACCCTCTTTTTCCTGACCATGCTTGGGCTCTGGTCGTTCCCATCCCCTCCATGTCTGAAAGAGGACGAGGCTGCTTCACAGTCCCTGGATTTTTTTTGAGGGGGGGGGGTGTTGAGGCCAAGAATCCAGGCTGATAGCAATAGCAATAGCAGTTAGACTTATATACCGCTTCATAGGGCTTTCAGCCCTCTCTAAGC